GCAGAGCCACCCTGGACCCAGTCTTTTCTGCATCGTTCGAAATCCTGTCCCCTGAAGCGTGTTTGGGAACATGATTTCAGGAGGAGGAGGAGGAGGAAGAGGAAAAGGAGGCAGATTAGGAGGAGGAGGAGGAGGAGGAGGAGGACGAGGAGGAGGAGGAGGAGGAGGAGGAGAGGAGGATGAGTGGGCGGGAGGACTCGGGGCCGATCGACGATCGGCGACGGTGATCGGCGACGGTGATTGACGATGACGACGACGGTCGTCGACGGCGACGACCGACGACGACGACGACGACGACGATGGACGACGATGACAACAGTTGACGCCGCCGATCGGCGAACGGCGACGACGACGTCTTCACAGTGCCACCCCGAGGATCCCCAAGACGGCCCAAGAGGGACCCAAGATGACCCATGATAGCTACAAGTCAGCCCAAGAGAGCCCCAAAGGCACCCAACAGAGCCACAACGGGGGCAAGCAGAGCTGCCTATAGAGATTCTCGGGAGGCCTCTTCCGCAGCGTCCGAAACCAGGTTCCCCGAAGCCTCTATCGGAACATGATTTCGGGGTTCCCAGGGCGCCCACGGGGGCCCTAAGACGGCCCCGACAAGTCCTAAAAGGACGCTCGAAAAAACCCGGAGGGGCGCAGTTCGTTGATTTCCGCGACATGTTGTTGGATTTCTTGCACGCGGAGGCGGTGGAGGAGGAGGGGGGGAAGAGGAAAGGAGGAAGAGGATATGGACGAGGAGGAGGAGGAGGAGGAGGAGGAGGAGGAGGAGGAAAGGGAGGACGAGGGGGGGGGGGGGGGGGGGGGGGGGGGATGGGGGGGGAGAGAGAAGGGGGGCGGGGGGGAGGAGGGAAGAGGGATGAGATGATTCTGATGATGATGATGATGATGATGCTGAAAATGATGATGATGATGATGGTGATGATGATGTTGATGATGGTGATGATGGGGAGGAGGAGGAGGAGGAGGAGGAGGAGGAGGAGGAGGGGAGGAGGAGGGAGGAGGAGGAGGAGGAGGAGGAGAGGAGGAGGAGGAGAGGAGGAGGACGGGACGGGGAGCAGGGGAGGGGGGAGGAGGAGGAGGGCAGAAGGAGGGGTGGGAATGTGGAGGAAGAGGAGAAAAGGAGGACGAAGAGCAAGAGGGAGGCTTCCCCCGAGTGTTCCCTTTATCCGATGTGGCCCAATGCTTGCGCGGCGTCGCGCTGCCGTTTGGCGAGCCATGTAGTCTGAACGGGAGGAGGAGAAGGAGCAGGAGAAGGAGGAGTGAGAGGAGGAGGAGGAGGCGGGAGGAGGAGGAGGAGGAAGAGGAGGGGGAGGGAAGGAGGAGGGAGAGGAGGAGGAGGAGGGAGGAGAAGGGAGAGAGGAGGAGGAGGAACAGGATGAAGATGATGATTGTGATGGTGATGGTCATGACGATGATGATGATGATGATGATGATGATGATGATGAGGAAGAGGAGGAGGAGGAGGAAGAGGGGGAGGAGGAGGAGGAGGAGGCGTGGGGGAGGAGGAGGAGTAAGAGGAGGAGGAGGAGGGAAAGTAGGAGGAGAAGGAGGAGGAGGCGGAGGAGGAGGAAGAGGAAAAGGATGAGGAGGAGGGAAAGGAGGAGGAGAGGAGGAAGGGGATGGAGGAGGAGGAAGGGGGGAAAGGACGGGACGATGGGTGGAGGAGGAAGAGTAGGAGGAGAGGAGGAAGAGCAGGGGGAAAGAGGAGGACGAGGAAGAGGTGTCGTTTTCGGCCACCTCGGGCCGCCTGGGGGCGAGGAGCGCCCAAAAGTTTTTCGAACCACGACCGCGAAACTCGACGAATAACCGAAGCGCATTCAGCCTTCAACCTCCTCGTCCGTTGTTTGGCCGTTGCCCCGGACGAATCTAGAACCTAAGCGCGCGCGTAGCGCGCGCGTGGTTCTAGTATACATATATATATACACATATCTATATATATGTATCCATATCCACCGCCCCCAGGCAGTTTCGGGCCTGTGGGGGCCGGCGTCTGGACGCAGCCGATTAGACTGATCAGGGGCAACAACCGTGTAGGTGATGGCTTTGCGCGATCGTCCCCTTCTCCCAAGAGTTTGCGTTGGACAACAAAATATCCACCGCCCACTGGGGTCCCAGGACGTCCGTGCCCCAGGCGGTGGATATGGACGAACCCGCGCTTCGAACCCCCCCCCCCGGCACGTCCAGGGCCTCGGCGCGTGTTGCGCCAGAGGCGCGCATTCGCAGAGGGGGCGGGCTTTCTCTGAAGGTTCAGGAGACCTCCGGCCTCCTCCGGCCTTCTGAGGATCGTGTGTTCACAACGTGCGAATTTCTGCGTCACAGCCGAGCCTCTCTGCGCATGCAATCTCTGAGGGTGCACGTTAGATCTCCACACAGACCTGCCAATGGTGCACACTTCTGCCCACGCGTCCTTCTGGATGCTCGGCTCAGCCACGCCACAGGGGGTTCAAGGACCTTGAACGGATCGATCGGGCTCGAAACACATGAAGCCGAGCAAATGATGTAATCCGAGGTTGCCGCGTGTTTTTTTATTATGTTGTTTTTTCCCACAAGCAGCTGAACAGCTCGGGGTGCTGTTGGGGTAGAAGCTACTTCTGCCCGAGGAAGTGTCAGTCGGGAGCCCCCTCCCTATGGGACCCGCAGATCATATTAGTTCGTTTCGAAATATACGCAGAAGAGACAAGCCAGGACGCCTCACCAACCACGAGGACGACGGTGAGGGTTTTTCCCACCTTCGCCCAGAGGATTCTCATGTGGGGTCCTTCCGTCGGAGTATTTTTTTGCGTCTCTCTGCCCCAGCACAGTGTCGATGCGTTGCGCCGTTGATGTTTTTTTTGTTTCACGCCATTCGGCGTCGCTCTACCTCTTCCTGCGGCGCCCCATTCCGCGTCCCTTCCGTGCCCTTTTACAGGAGGAGGGCAAGGAAAAAAACAACGGGGAGGACGAAAAGGAGGAGGGGGAGGAGGAGGAGGAGAAATGCGAGGACGAGGAGGAGGTCCTCTGCAAACCCAAGGCGCATCAACGATGTTGCAACAACCCCCCCTCCAAATTTCCTCTTCATAGCACCCTGCAAAAACTTGTTTTCAACGCCCAGCTTGGAGGGAACAGTTTGAGAGTCTTCAATCGTGCCAACACACGTTTCCTGGGACATCAATGTCGCGCATCAACGTGACCTGTTGCGTCCAGGCAACCCTAAATCGTGCCAGAATGCCGCGCCCTGGAGTAACGTAGACACCGCGACTCGACGTGATTGTTGCGTCCTGACAGACATGAGTCTTACCAGTGCGGAGTTCCTGGGACTTCCACCATGCGAACCCTTCAAATTGTAGCAAACTGTCAAAGCGAAGCCGCGCGGCTCTGAGGCGAGAGCCGCATTTTGAAACAACGCCGCCCTTCACTTTGGAATCTGCTGAAACTTGTCTAGGTGGATTTGCGCGGCGTTAAGGCGAAAACAACAATTTGAACATGACCCGCGTTTTTTGCTTGAAACTGCAGGTTACGGCAAATGCGCGCGGCGCTAAGGCGAGAACCACTAATTGAAAATTGCCCGCTCTCCAGTGAAATTGCTGCAACGTTTTACGGCGATTCTGCGCGGCGGCAAAGCGACAATCACATTTTGAAAGCGGTCCGCAGTCCATCCTTGAAGGTGTGGCAATGTTTGAGGGACGCGCGCAGCGTTGAGGCGAGAGCCACGTTGAGGTGTTGCAAACTTCAAGCTTCAGGGCCATTCGTGGTGAGGATGTCTCGGGCGAGAGGCCCTGCCCGCCCCACGGACAAGTCCGGGGGTGGTGACAGGGAGGGGTTACTCGGGAGGAGGAGAAGGAGCACTGCGAGGGTGAGCAGAATAATAACAAGCACTGCGGAGAGGAGGAGGATGATAACGAGAAACACAAGGAGGAGCATAAGGACAACAATATGAGGATCATGACCAAGAGGAGGAGGACACGGAAAGGAGGAGTGCGATGAGGAGGTAGAGGATGAGCATGATGATGATGAGGAGGAGGAGGAGGAGAAAGCGCGATAAGTTTGAATATTACCATGAGGATGAAAGGGGGCTTTGTATGAGGATGAAGGAGGGGAGGTATGATATAACAACGTACACGAAGAGCAGGAGGAAGAGGGCGAGGAGGAGGAGGAGGATCAGGACGGAGAGGAGGAGGAGGACGAGGAGAGAAAACGGGAGGAAGAGAGGAGGATGATCAGGAAGAGAAGGAGGATGAGGTGTTGTTGGGGTGGGGGCGAGAAGACAATGAAAGTGGATGTCGGGGATAATGAGGAGGAGGAGGAGGAGGAGGAAGGGGGAGGAGGGGGAGCAGGAGGAGAAGGACGACGACGACGACGACGACGACGACGACGATGAACATCTCGACGACGACGTCGGCGGCGCAGGCCGACCTGGAGCAGAAAGGCGCGCGACCACTCATAGGAACCATGTGGGGTTCAAACGCGCTATGTGAGGATACTGGAATCAGGCTATAATTTGCCGAGGTCGGACTTCAAGGAATGCTAGAGGGTGCCAGAGAAGCACCGCCGCCTTCTGAGAAGGACCCCCCCCCTCGAAGATCCTCGTCGTCGAGCCTTCGGACCATCCTTCGAGTCTCCTTCGGCTCCTCGGGACAATCGGGGCACCCCTTTGAGCGCTCTCGGCGGGGCGCCGTTGCTGGAGAGCGTGCCGAGGCTGGGACGCCCCCCCAGTGATCGACGCACGCGCCCGCACGCCTCGAACCTCGAGCGCTCCCCCCCCCCCCCGGGCGCGCCGCCGAGCCGCGCCGCCCCGGGACGCCGACGAGCCGCGCGGGTCGCGCGCGCCCGCCGACGGAGGCCGAATACACGGCCGCAGAGCCGAGCCGAGCCGTCGTCGTCCTCCTCCTCGTCGCGCCCTCGGCCTCCTCCTCCTCCTCGTCGCGCCCTCGTCCTCGTCGGCCTCGTCGTCGTTGTCGTCGGCCTCGTCGTCGTCGTCGTCGGCGGCGGCGGCGCCGAGCCGCGCCGCTCAGGCGTGGGACGCCGAGAAGCAGCGCAAGTCGCGCGCGCCCGCCGCGGGGGCGGTGACCGAACGGGCGCGGGCGGCCGAGGAACCACGGCCTCCCCCTGCCCCTCCTCCGCCTCCTGCTCCGCCTCCTCCTCCTCTGGCTCCTCTTCTTCAGTCGCCTAGCCATTTTGGCTCAAGGTTCTCACTTGCCATGGAGTTAGAACCGTGTTGCAGCCGACAAGGGGGCCCGAAGTTCTCGGGGACAAGACTCGCACTCGAACCAGCGGTGCGCCAAGGCACGCTCTTGCCCGCATGTTGCACCAGGAGAAAAAGATGTTCAGCCTCACCTTCCGAACATAGCCGGCGCCTCTGCGGTGCAAGCCCTCGCGGCAGCGATCAATGCCCAAGCGGCCAGCATGGCGCAACAATCGGGAACCATGAGGAATTCGATTGAGGTGTACCACACCTGTGACATAGTGCCTGGGTCACGTGTGTGTATATGCGCCACTCGTCGCCATTTGACCTCTAGGGGCCCCTTTTTGCCATTGCGCTAAAACGCATCATAATCACACTGGTAGCGAAGCTACCACACGATCCCCGTATCGTACCACTGCGCGCACGTCTCATCAGAGAGTGTCACACTACCTCTCTTTACTTTCTGTACTGGCAGTTTCCCTCGCCAGGGTCCCTCCAGGGAGAAGAGGATCTTGACCTGCCTCGTCCTCATGATTTCGGCACCACCCGAGCATTCGTATACGATGTACGCGTCGGCCACGCAAGGGCGACCCAATCGCTCAGAAAGATTGCGCTACAAGTTCCGTGGCGGTCGAATTCTGGCCATACCGCTCGAGAAACTACATTGATATTCTACAAGATTTTGTGCGAGATGGTCGGGTCAGACGCGCGGCGCCAACAGTGGCAGGTAGTATTGAGGCGTAGTATTGCGCCCCATGTTTCATCTTCATCCCCGCCTGCAGCTCGTCCTGTTTTTGCATGAGGGGAACCATTCGCCCCAACGTCTGTCTGCCCTTGGGCTCGGGGAGGCCCTCCTGTCGGACTGGGCCTGAGGCGGCCAGTCCGGGAGAGTGCCGCAGCGCCCCGACAGGGCCACGGAACAGCTGCCACAGCCCAGGAGGGGCAGTTGATCGTCCTCATGCCATACCCCCACAGGCCCATAATTTGGCCCTCCTCCTCCTCCTCCTCCCCCTCCTCCTCCTCCTCCTCCTCTTCCTCCTCCTCCTCCTCCTCCTCCTCCTCCTCCTCCTCCTGACTGTCAGGGCACGGTGTCTTGTGGGCAGAATTTAGCTTGCGCGCAGGGCCCTTCCGAGGCTCGCGCGCACCTGTGGCAGCAGGCCGCTGGTGGCGGTGCCCTCGATGATGTTTCTTTTTGCAAGGTTAAGGCTCACTCGACGTGGGACGACGTCGTCGAGGGCCGCATCACGGCATGGCAGAGGGACGGCAACCATGCCGCCGATCAGGTAGCTAAGAGAGGAGCGTTGCTGGGCCGCTTTCGGGAGGAAGACAGAAACCTCCTGCGAGGGTGCCTAGAAATTGCTCGGCGCCTCACGCGGTTCACAGGTAGGCTGGAGGCCGTGCTCTCTGCCTCGGGGGTTCGAGACCATCAGGGGCTCGAGGCCGCACGCACGGTTGTCGTGGAAGCGATCTGGCCTGTGTCGGGGAGTGACGGTGAGGGGGACGGCGGGGACACTCATAGCCGGCCTGCTGTGCCCCCCGGCCGGGGACCTCGACGAGGCTGGCGGCCCATCTCGAGGACCATGGCGGGTGCAGGGCCACTCCCTTTTAGCAGCACCAGTGCTCGAATGGGAGCAACCGGCGCAGGGCCCAAAGGGAACGTGCTCGCATGTTCTGATTTGCACGCGTTGCTTTGGGCACGCCACGTGCCCAGGAGTCGGCCGTGGTCTCAAGGCAGAATGCTCGCACACGAGAGGTCGCACCCACCGGGCGCAGAGCATACGCAGCAGGGCCGAGAGAGGCGTTCATCCCCACCACGCGTGGCGCGCCCGCATAGGCGAATTGGCTGGGCCATCAGCGGGGCTGCGCGCGCAGTGGAGGGAGCATTTCTCTGGGCCCGACGCGGCGCAGGCAACGAGGGTGCCTGACGCGCGCCGCGCGGCCCTAGACCAACCGATGCGGTGGGGCAGTGAATACCCCCGAATGGCCATAAGCGATGCCTTGTGGGCCTTCGGTTTTCGTTCGCGCGCTAGGGCGGAAGAGCTCGGACGCGAGGCGTACGCCCTCGATGCTGCCCGGGCCAACGCCAACGCTGTCGGGGGCAAGTGTTTTGAATCTGAGGCACCCTCTGGGGCGTGAGGCCGGCCTCGGATGCGCGCCAGCGGCGCGGGCACTGTGTGGGCCCACCTCCACCGCTGCGGGCACCTCCCTCGGGTGTTCGTTGTGGGGGTGGGGCGGGACCTCCTTCTCCTCTCCCCTCCCTCGGGAGTCGTCTACCTCCTCCTCCTCCTCCTCCTCCTCCTCCTCCTCCTCCTCCTCCTCCTCCTCCTCCTCCCCCAGAGTCCCCCCTTTCGCTTCCTGCTCAGCCACCTCCATCCCCTCCTCCGCCTCCACATCCTCCGCTCATCTGCCTCACTGGGGGGGGACACAATAAGTCGGGGAACAAGCAATAACGTAAACACGACAACTTGGAGGTCCGCGCGGATTGCGCGGATCGGCGTCGGACCCTGGAGCGCGCCAGGGGCGTCGCCGGAGGCGACGCCATAGCCGATCCGAGGGATCCGAGCGGACCCCTAGTTTTTTATGTTTATGTAATTGCCTGTTCCCCTGCTGAGGACAAGGAGGGAAGCGCCAGGATCAGGGCTCGAACTTCGAGGTTCGAAGATTGAGGTGTTCAGGCGTTTTCGTTGGTGCTCTCTGGTTTTCCAGCCTTGGGGAGGTTTCCATCAGCTGCGCCTCGCCGAGGGCGTTCTGGGGGTGCCGGGATCGTCTCGAATGGCCGCCGGAGAGCCGTGTTATGACTTGACAACGACAGGATGGAGATGGGCTCAGGGGGGAGTTATAGACCTCCAATTGTCCACTGATCGTTGAGAAGGGCCCGAAAGCCCACTTCGCGCAGGAGCGCGCGGAATGGCTATCGGGAACGCATCGCTGCTTTATGTCAGGGATATGTCACCGATTGCGGCTCGATGTTTCCCTCCCTGAGCTGGTCGCCCCCCAAAAAACGTTGCCCCTCAAAGTGTGGGAGGATGAGACGGAGGAGGGCGAGAGGGTGAATCAGGCGGTGGACGGGGAAGAACGAGAAACACGAGGCGGAGGGGGAGAGCGAGAACACGCAGCGGAAGAGCATGCGGACGATGTTGAAATTGTTGTAGGTCTGTAGACAGGGTAGGATATATATATATAAATATATAAATATACGTGGTCGGTTCGGCTCTAGTCGAGTCTGCCCGACAAGTTCCAGCAGGGACCGCGCTGATTACATCACAGCATCAAGCTGTTTTTCGACACTGAGATGCGAAAGTTATTTGTTTACGGTGTTCCCGTTCTCGGACCGTTGCTCGGGACAGACAAGGTGCCGAGTTTCGAAGATGTCGACAAGCTCATGATGGCGCTGGCATTGGTACAAGGGCTTTTGCTATCCTGTCTCGCTGGGACTTTCCAGTCAGTATTGGAATGCTCCGAAGATGCCGAAGAGCCTGACGAGCACCAGAAAGTTTTGGCAATCAATTTTCAGTATTGGTCTTTTGAATGCTTGTGCTTGGCCATCCTTTTCACAATTATCACATACGCCTACATTGTGTACTTGATCGACCAAGCAGGTGGTGACACTGTAGAAATGAAACGGATGCAAGTGTTCTGGACAGCCGGGGGGAGATTTGTTATGGCAGGGCTTGTAGTGTTCACGGTCACCGGGGCTGTACTTTATGCGTGGGGGGTCTCGCGGGCACTTGCTTGCATGTATGGTGACCTACACGGTGGCCATTGGGGCATGGATGGCTTCCTCCCAGGCGGCCTTGCGATGCCGTTGGTTGCATGCTTTGGTGCGATGCTGATTCACGTATCCTTTAGGAAGATGTTGATGGAACATTTGGATGACCTGCCTGGAGGGGCAGCCGGTGAATTGGTAAGCCTTACCAGTGGCAATTTCAAGTAATACACGCTTGCCTATCTGGTTGGACCACGGACATACGCTTGTCGATACAAAGTCCACAGATAACGTGGCTCACGACGACAGCGGTTTGCCTCGGGCTAGGCTGATCCAAAGCATCTTGTCTACCCTCCAATTTCGGGCGTACTGTGACCCTGACAAGCACTTCTCGGCCCCCCTTCGGCGAAACTATACCGCTTCTCGCCCCATGGAAGTCATATCCCCCCTGGGATCCCTCGTGCGGGACCCCACCAAGACCCTGATAGGATCCCAGGAATGCCCCAATCGGATTCCAGAGAGAGCCCAAAAGGATTGCGGAGGCTCTTGCCTCCGAAGAGGCCGTCTTGAGGCATCTCTTGGGCTGTATTACTCCTTCCCCCCGCGGATGTTTTCATGAGTTGCTTTGTCGGGTACTGACCGGCCCCCCCTCGGGGATGAACGCATCGATTCGGGTGCTATTGATCACGTGGGGGGCCGAAAAGTGTTCTCGAGGTCACCCTCTCACGACGGCACCGTTTGCCTTCAGAGACTGGCCGTGCTCTCGACTCGTCTGTACGAGTCGAGCCGTCTGCGCTCCCCTTGGGCGTGACTCCACCCCTCGCCCGCGTTCCCCCCCGTCCCTGGCCTTGCAGCGGAGATCTGCTTCGGGGGGCAGGGGCCGAGATCTGAGCTCCTCCTCCCTCCTCCTCCCTCCTCCTCCCTCCTCCTCCCTCCTCCTCCCTCCTCCTCCCTCCTCCTCCCTCCTCCTCCCTCGAGCTGCTAATCGCGAAGCTGATGCCGATTGGAATGATTGGTGTGAGACTGCGTCATTAGGGGGAGCCAGGGGCCTACATAGGATCACCAAGGTTCGGAGTGTGTGTCCCCCCACGGTTGTCCATGATCCTTTAGGCCCCACGGCTGACCCCCATAGCGTTGTGCAGCATGAAGCTCGTGTGTATCAGGCGCTCTGGAAAGCTGGAGCGATTCCCCCTCAGGCATGGATACCTGATAGAGAGTCTTTTCCAGTCGCGAGCGTTGAGGACATACGTAAAGTGATTCGGTCATTTCCTGAGGGCACGGCAAGATCTCTCGATCAACTGCACCCTCGTCATTTTCAGCTGCTAGATGATAGCGGCCTCATGGTTCTTGCTAAACTTTGGCAGTGCTGCGAAGCGATAGGTCTCCTGCCTCGACAATTGCTCTGGGTTTTAATGCCAATGCTGCCGAAACCGACAAGCGGTTATAGGCTAATTGTACTTTGTTCTGGCATGTACCGCATTTGGCAAAGGCTCCGCCGCCCCATGCTCAAGGATGTGTTGGATTATTTGGACCGTGGGTACTGGGGGGCTACTCGGGGGAGGAGTGCTGTGGATTGTGCATGGGTGTTAGCGGCCAGGAGCGAAGCCGATGTTGTCAACCATCGTTTTTCGGTTCTAGTCGTTGCCGACTACAGTAAATATTATGAGACGATTGACCTCATTCAGTTGCGTGATAAATGCATAGCGTTCCGAGTGCCGTCTCCCGTGCTAAAGTTAATTTTTAATGTTTGGCAAGCCCCAAGAATATTGAGGCTTCGCCAGCATCACTCGCTTGATTGCATGCATGCACAGTTCGGTCTTCCAGCAGGTGATTGCTTCAATGACTTGTGCATAAAAATACACGCAGCTCGTGAATTTGACTGGTTTGTTTCACGTCAGCCATCGCTCGTAAGTTTCATGTCGTACATTGATGATTCAGGCATCCAGATCTCTGCTGCAGACCGGCAGCGAGCCCTGGATCTAGCGGTGGCGGCGGGAAAAGATTTCCAGATTGCCAGTCGTAATATTGGTGCCATTCTGAATGATAAGATTGCTGTAGTTGCGTCATCGGAGGACTTGGCTAAAGATGTAGCAGCAAGTCTCCAGATGCAACGCAAGGTAGTCAAGAAGGCAGTCACATATATTGGAGTCGATTCGACCGCTGGTTTGCGACGTGCTGCGAAGGGCACGAGACCCAAACTTAGGAGTATGTTGAAGGCTATGCAAAAGCGTGCTAAAAAGATCAGTAAGTTTCGCAAGTTTATAAAGCGCAAGCCAAAACAAGTCCTCCAAGGGGTCCTGCGTACTGGCCTGGCTTCTGCGTCGTCGTACGGCTCTGAGGTCTTGGGGTTCTCGGATGCTGAATTGGCGTCAATACGCAGAACCCAGTCGAGGCGACAGGCGCCCATGCACGGCGGCACTTCAGCTAGTGCTAAACTGGTCCTCTTTGGAGAGTGGGACGTCCGTGCTGCTTTGGGCCCCGTCTTGCAATGGAGTAGGATGGTTTGGATCTCCAAGGTAGCGCCCGAGAGAGCCCTTTTAAGTTTCCCTGCCCTCGTTTCCTTGTGGCAACAGGCTAATGCGAGCAGCGTCGTTGACTGGAAGAATAGTCGAGGCCCGCTCAGTAGAGTTGTCTTGTGTCTCAAGAGGGCAGGTTGGTCGGCTCCCGAGGCTTGTGCTTGGATTGATCACAATCAGAATCCCATCGATATCAGTTTAATGTCACCTCGAATGCTGCAGGAGTTGCTTGAAGCAGGCCTCCAGAGGCAGGCTGAGCTGGCCTTGGGCCAAAAACTCTGTTTTCCTCTTGGTGTTCGGGCCACTCTGGACCTGGTCAGGGACAAGATGGTTCCTCGTGTGAACAGTTTCACTCGGCAGCAGCAGTTTTTGTTAAAGTGTGCAGCGTGTGATGCCAATTGGACTGAGAAGAGGGCCCAAGATGCGGGGTATCTTAGTTGTGGTCGTTGTGAGTGTGGGCAGGTAGATACCCCGCATCATCGCATCTACACGTGTACCAGGCCAGATGTGCTGGCTGCCCGTGAGATGGCCTGTGAAGATGTCCCCAATGAGTCGTTGCAGGTTGCCCTTCAGACGGATGATTGTCTGCACACTCGAGGCATCTTTGTCTATGATGACTCCCAGCTCGTTCCTCCCTCCCTCAGCTCGTCCTGTGAGGTTTTCGATGGGCAGGGTAACGAGCTCGACCGTCAGCCCGAGGAATTGGCTGCCCTCGTTCCGCCAGGACAGCCGCTTGAGCTCGCGGCCGACGGCTCGGCCACCAAGCAGATGCTTAGGCCGCTCCGACGCGCGGCCTGGTCGATTGCTCTGCTCTCGCCGAGTACGGCAGACATGGAGGCTGTGCTACGAGGCGTTGTTCCAGGCACCCTCCCCCAGAGCCCAGCTGCTGCGGAGCACGTTGCTGCTGCGTTGTGTGGCCAGGTCGCTGATCGCCCGACTCGGCTCGGTCTCGATTGTCTTGGGGTGATCCAGCACATTCAGAGACTTGTGGCCAAGCAGTTAGAGGCTCAGAACAAGTTTTCTGGCATCCGAAAATTCGCTTTTGAACTTGATGGTTCCAAGTTTTTGGAGGCTTTTCATGTGAAGGCCCACCGCTCTGATGAAGAGTTGAACCAGCTTGTAGGTGATGAGTATCGGTTCGGCCAGGCCAATAAGATTGTGGACAACCATGCGAAGTTGGCCCTGGCCTCCCATCCTGCCCCCACCCCTGCCTTCTTGCATTCTGTTGAGGAGGCTGAGAGGAGAGCAGGGATTTTTGTGAAGCTCGCCAGTGCATGCCTCGCGCTCTTTCGGAATGAGATGAGGTGGAGACGTGCCCCGCCTAGTCAGCAGCGGTCTCGAGCCAAGCGTAGTTGGCACGAATGGCGTCGGACTGAGCTTGGAGTTCAGTGTGTTCACTGTCTTATTGTCAGCTCGTCTGGTGATCGCCCTGCTGACGGATGTCAGGGCACGCCCACGGCGATAGCTAAGTTGCTCGAGGATCCCAGGGGCCATTCCCTCGTTGCCGTGTCGGGAACGGCTCTCAAAACTGCTTCTGGTGCTTCCTCGGGTCCTGTTTCGGGTTCTGGGCGCACCGAGATTAAGGAGCAACAGTTTTTGTGTCTCAACTGTGGTGGCTGGACTCAGGGAAGGATGATCAAACTTGCTAAGACTTGTGAAGCACCTACGACTAAGGGCCTCGAGGTTTTGAGCGCGTTTCGTCGGGGGTTAGGGCCAAACCCAAGGTTGAGGGAACGTTTGGATAAGGCCATCCCCATTTCTCGACTTGATGCGACTCTCGCAAGCCCGAAAGAGGTGCAGTCTGTGTCGTCCGTCCCCAGAGGTTTCTCCTCTAGTGAAGAGGCCCCACAGTATGAGCAGAGAATGGCTGCCTTACTCGCCCGAGTTAAGGCCAAAGAAGCCAGTTCTCAATCGATGGCATAATTGTCTGTAACCTTGCCAGTCTTTGGTGTGTTCACCTTCCGACCTTTTCCAAGGCGCTGTCTTATCTTATATTATCTTATCCTCCCTCCTCCTCCGTCGACTACAGAGAGAGAGAGAGAGAGACGGACACCGCCTTTTCTGCTGCGTCTCTCGAGGCTGCTCGAGCTGTGGGGGTCCCTGGGCCCGGAGAGAGGGCAACGCGCCGTCCGCTGTGGCAGTGATCGCTTTCTCGGTCGCTGTTTTGCCGATCGGCGCCGCTCCTCGCACCCCCCCCCCATGGATCACCACCCACCAAACCACCCCAACCCAACCCGAAGGCTCAGATTTACCCTCGATTTCTAGTTTTGGGGGGGGTCCGGGAACATCGAAAAAACACATATGGAGCCCATACCCCCCCCCAACCCGAAATTCGGGTCTTCGGGTTGGGTTGGGGTGGTCTGGTAGTCAATGGAGTAGATCTTGGCTGTTTCTGGCGCCTGTTTCGAACAGGTTGGGTCTCCCCCATAGGACGCACTGCTGCAAACAGTCGCATTAGGCAGAGGTCTCCGGAGCCATATCCCCCCAATGTCGGAAGAAACGCCGAAGAAGAACACGTTCACATCTGGGAGGCCCTCTTGGAGCCATCTTGGGCCATCTTGGACGCTCCAACGACCCGCGAAAGGCTCTGTCCAGGTCCAGGGGAGGGGGTAAGGGTAAGGCGGAGGGGTAAACCCCTCCCCGAAGGGGCAGAAAGGGGGTGGAAGAGGAAACGCCCCAAACCACCTGCGCCGTGAGGGCTGGTGGGAATGTGTGACGCCAGACGGCATGGCTGAGAGGGCCAGCAGGCATGGCGGAGAGGGCTCGGGGGGCTGAGAGCCATGCGGGGCCACGGCTGTGAACGACGATCAATGGAGAGGAAGCATGTTGTAAAATAAGTTGCAGATGCTGTAAAACATTGACAACTGTCTTAAACATTTTTGTTTTGAAATGCTTGACATATTTTCAGACCATGTTTACGACATGTGAAACACATGTTTAATAACATGATAGAATTCTTAGGGTCTCCATTGTCATGGCATCCACAAGGCCACGGCTGGGGTGGAAACGCCACCCCGCCCTACGTCGGCGGCGCGCCGAAGGAGGATTTTTCGAGTTCGAGCCCAGAGGGTTTCGGGTTTTTGTCGCCGGTTCCCAGCGGTTTTTCAGCCTCGGGGTGCTCTCCAGCAGCTGCGCCTCGCCGAGGGCGTTCCGAACGGCGGCTGGATCCCCGAGGTACGACCTGAAAACTAGAGGATGATATTCATTGAGGGGGTATGCCTTCTCGGAAGGCGGCGGGGCTTCTCAGAAACCCTCAGGCCTTTTCTGAAGATCCCCTTGCGGCTTCGGAGAACGCTTGAGCAGCTTCTCGGTCAGACAGCCGGAGGCCTCGTGAGCCTTCTGGGAAGGCCCACTACCTCTGCTTTCCCCTCTGGGCGTGCCGCCGACGACAGGCAGCGGGGGGGTGGCGGGCGATCATATAGTCAACCCGCATAGTAAGGTACCCTTGTATCCTTCCCCTTCGGCCCATTCTTGGCCGCTTTCGCTGGCCGCACCCCGCTCAAAAAGTGTCGACATGGCTTTCCAAGGCCCTTGCATCCCCATCGTGCGTCACTATCATACCGGTTGACTAGACCGTGGGGTGGAGTCGGGCTCGGGATCGGATTGATTTTGTTTCAGGCTGGCAGCCACGTCTGCCGGCGTGCCCTGCACCACCCTCTGTTGCAGGTGTTCATTCCAGGTAAAGTCCTGGGTTCAGAATGCGTCGAGGTTCATGTCAGAAAAATGCGGGTTGACTGCAATGTTTGATTTAGGCTTCTTGCGCAGATGTGGTTTTGGAGTTCGAGCCTCTTGATTTTCATCGTTCGTCGTGTGTGGTCGGTCGTCCTCCCTCTTGGCCCCTCCCCTGCCTCCCATCCTGGCCCCCAAGCCCAGACCCCCTGATATTCGTCGTGCGTGGTTCGTCGTCCTCTCCATTGGCCTCCCCTGCGCCCCCCCTCCGCAACTGCACGGCGCCCTAGCCCCTGGACCCCTGCATTCTCTTGCGCTGCTGTGTTCTAGAGTTCGGAGCCATCGTCATCGTCATCGTCGTCATTGTCGTCGTCCGCCTCTCTGGCTGTCTCGGACCTCCCTGACCTTGAGACCCCGAGTTAGCTCCATGAGGCCTCGAGAGAGCCGCAACAGAGGCCACGACGGTCCCACGAAAGCTGCAGGACGGCCTCGGAATGTTCCTCATCCTCTTCGTCACTCTTTTAGCTTGGTCACTTGAACGGCCAGCACATTTCGGCGACTCATCCTTGACGCTGCAGTTCCTTTGAGGTTGCTTGCGTTGAAAAGTCTTCTCGTCACCCCCCTCGTGCAAAGGTCAGTGCACACGTGCCACTTGTTGTGAGACTTCGGGCTCCAGGTTCAAGGGGGGGCGGGTATTTCGCGTGCGGGCACGCGTTTTCGCGTCTTGGGGTGGCTTGCCCAACGGGTTGTGCAAGGGCGTCGTGGGTTATTAGCCTCCCTGTCTTTTCCTGTCTTGCCCACTCCTCATGCCATGGATACAATACCAGGCCATGTTGGTATGTGATCTGGCTCCATGCCGTCCTGTTTATGTTCCAGCCATGATGGCTCAACACTGCGCATTTGGTAGCAAGGCAGTAGCCATGGTGTGACGTGCACGCGTTGGTCAGGCCCGTCTCTCGCACGCCTTGTTCTGTGCTTTCCATGGCAGGCCTCTTCTTTGCCGAGGAACCCTGTCTCGAATCACACGGGCTGCAATTCGTCTGCCTGCGGCGAGCCCCTCCACAGTGCCAGCCCACCGTGGCCACCGTTGCGTTGGTCAGGCCCGTCTCTTGCACGCCCTGTTCTGTGCTTTCCATGACGTGTTTTTTCTTTGGCAGGTCCTTCCACGTGCCAGCCCACCGTGGCCGCAGTTCGAGGAGCGCACAGTGTGAGGCATTGTGCCCCGAGGCTTCGGAGAGCCGTAGGGTGTGTCACGGTCATCCGCGTCGTGTCGTAGTATTATTCTTCGTGTCCGTTGTTTTCTTCCATTATCCTGGGCTCTTCGCGTAACCCCACCAGCCCATGCAGACACGATGCCCAGACGAGTTACCCAGATGAGGAATGTGGAAGAGCATGCGGTGAACGAGTCCTGAGAGGAGGAGGATGGAGGAGGAATCGGAGGAGGAGGAGGAGGGAGAGGGAGAGGGGGAGGAGGGAGGAAAGAAGAAAGAGGAATAGGCGGATGAGGAAGAGGAGCAGGAGGAGGAGAAGGAGGATGAGGGCGAGCAGAACGGCCAGAGGCCTCTTCGATGCCCCTCGGAGTCTCTTCGGATGTCTCTCGAGAGCTTATTGGAATCCGCTTGGGGCGTCTTGAAGTCTTGGGGGCCTCGTGGCGGTCCCGGGTGCCTTTTGGAGCGTCTTGTGTGCCTCTTGGGAGCCTCTTCGGGCCTTTGGGGGGTCTCGTGGGGGCCTCTGGGGACCTCTTGGGAGCTTCTTGGGGCCTCCTGGGCGCCTCTTGGGGCCCTCTTTGGGCCCTCCTGGGAGCCTTGGGAGCCATCTTGGGGTCATCTCGGAGATGTTCGACAACAGAAGGGGGCGTATTCAATTACCGTTGCCCCCTTAGAACGCCAAACTGTGGCCAAAGCCGCGGTAGCATCAATGAGTTTGGCCTTCTCGCCGATGCCATCTTGGACGCTCTAAGTGGTCGCACCCCCCCCGTCCAGGTCCAGGGAGAGGCGGTATAGGGAGGGATTAAGCTACCCACCCGCCCGCAAGCCGTCTAGCTCACTCCCACCCGCCCTCCCAACACTCAAGTAACACCCGAGCCTGAGCATGTTCAGCGGTCGTCTTTGGACGCACTGGGAACCAAAGCCGACCCCAGGTGCGCGACTCTTGGGCGAGGTGCGCCACGCGTGCCAGGGGCGCCACGCGTGCCAGGCACCCCTGGGGCCCGAGCGTGCCAGGCACGCCTGGTGCGCCAGATGCGCCACGTGCTCCGAGTGCGCCAGGTGTCCCGCACACTCCAGCCGCGCCAGGTGCGCCATGTTCGGGGCACGTGCAGAGTGCGTCAGGTGCGCCTGCGCACGTGACAGCACATATCGGGAAGCTTGTCGGTGCCCGCCATCCTTGTCGAAAATCAATGCTCGTCATTGTGTCTGGTGGGCCTGCGCACAGCAGGAGTGGATGAGCGGAGTGGAGTGGATGAGGAAACCCTCTTTACCACTCACGCCCTAAAGGGCTGGTGGTATTTGTGCCCTTTCTCCTCTCTTGGGGCCTCTTGAACTGGGGATTTCTTGAAGGCGTTTCGGGCACGTCTTGGGGGCCTCATGGGGGCTCCTTAGGTGGTCCCAGGGCACGCTTTGGCAACCTGGCGCCTTCGGACGCAGTCGTCGGGGAGTTCTGGCCCCGTGTGGAGGCCACCTCCGGGCCGTGAAGGGTCGTCTGGGGGTCTAATGGGCAGTCGTGAGGCCTCCCTGGGCCGTATGGGAGGTTCTTCGGGCCGTCTTTGGAGCCTCTTGAGCCGCACTGGGGCTGTCTTTGGTGGCTCGTGGACCGTCGTGTGGCCGCATTGGAGGCCTCTTGGGCCGTCTTCGGCTGACCTAAGGCCGAACGGGCGAGAACTCGAAAATCGTTCAAGCAGCATCAGGCAACACATGATTTTGGCTGTTTCCCCCCTGATGGGGGGCTCCCCTTAGAGCTCTCATGCGCAGTCTTGGTCGGGCTGTCAGCTGTCTTCAAGCTATCTTGGGTCGGCCTGGACTCCGTTTTGGAGGCGTCTTGGGCCATATTGGCGGCCTTGGTGGCTTGTTTGGTTGTTTCAAAAGTCACCCCTGGCAGCTTGGTGGCCTTGGAGGGCGCCAGGGAGGCGTCGGGGCGCGCAACGAGCCTCGGGAGGGGGGCGGCACACGCGGAAAAGCGTGGTGTGAGGGGGGGCATAGAGCATGGCTGGCACCCTACAAGACAGCGCTTGGGCGATGGAAGAAAACGAGGTCGTCTGCGCTGGCATTGGCGCATGAGTTTCCCGCATAAGGTAGCGCGTAGGCGCCCTCGCTTCCAGTGCACCGTGTAGCGCTGGCGGCTCGCGTAAGCTGTGGCGTAAGGTCACTGTGTCATCTCGCGTAAGATCCGTTTCCCGTTTCTGATCGTCGTTCATCTGGCATTTCATTACGCCCACACAGTGTAGTCACGGTGGCGGGTAAGGCTAATTGTTGGTTGCTTGCCCGCCCTCGCTGGATGAGCACCATCAGCGACACGGTGGCACAGGCCAGTCTGCAAACGTGCCGAGGAGAGAGCGGTGCTGCTCGCGTTGCCCCAGCTGACCTGAACACGGTTCTAACGATTGTCATCGTGACCTCTCCGGTCATCTCGAACCCGTCCACGGAGATGTTAGACAGGCTCGTGGCTTCGCTGCTCAGGCATTTGCCCGGGGCCGCCGAGTGCAAGCTGGTCGTTGCGTGCGACGGCTACAGCGCTGGGGCCCCAGCGACTACATCCCCAGCGAGCGATTCGTCTGGTGTTATCAAAAGGTATCCTTGCCCCAGGGGCGCCAAGATGACCTCCAGAGCCCCCCCCTCGCGAAGCCCAGAGGGCCCCATGGGGCTCCAAAGTGTAGTGAATTGCTGGGCGCACCTTGGGCAGGGATCATCATCACCCCTGGCAGCCTCCGATGCCAATCTCTCGAACCCGAGGCCGAGCCGCGAGACTCGAGAGCGGGGACGGCGGGGGGAAATCATGCCCAGTAGGCGCACCGAGCTAGGAACTGGCCTGCCAGCAGGTGCCACACGGAAAGCCTTGACGCTTCGCGTTTCTCCACCAGCCCTTTTTAACACGATCAGAGGCTGTCTTGAGGCCTCTTGGAGGCTGTCTTGAGCTATGCTCTTATAGAGGCTATCGGTAAACTCGGAACTGCCTACAAGCAGATGCCACACGGAAGCTTCTTGCTCCCCGACGTTTTTGGAGACCCCCGTTGGAGTTCTGGGTGGCATCCAGCGTGGTCCGAGGTCGATCGAGCGTTGCGCCCCTGCGGCGGGCTCGCGTCGTGTCAACGCGGCGGCGACCTTGCCGCGGGCCTTCAAGGCTAAATCCCGCCAGTGGCGCAGAATCTCGGGCGACGAAGTCTATACACATCCACTACCCCGCTGGCCGGGTCCTTCCTGGGCCCAGGAGCTGTGTCCTCCTGGCCAAGCCAGGAGGGCGTGTCGTATACACCGCTGCTGGGTTCAGGATGGACCTGGCCATGGGGCAGTGGATATGTATAGATTTCGTCGCGTTAGAACTGGCCAGTATGGGACGAGCTCGCGATCAAGAAGCTGCCGATCCTTCAGCTCAAGGGCGAGCGACCCACGCGGCGTCGGAGACCAGCGCCGAGGCCGTCACGCACGGGATCAGCCGCAGGTGCTTGGCACGGGAGCATCGGTCTGCCAGCAGGCGTCCCACGGAAATGCCGCCTCCCCCCGGCCACCACTGGGACCCACAGACTCACTGGAGCACTTCAGGCAGCCCAGCGACCGACGTCGAATGTGCCCCTGGATGCCTGAACAGTGGGAGACCGACCCCGGCCCCCACAACTATGGATTTTACATGTCAGCGTTTTGCATTTACGGCGAATGAGCGTAGGTGTAGGCGCCCTGTCGGCGAAACCACTGACAGCTGCCGCAGGGGGGCCCCGCGCGCGCGGCGATGTCCTGAGCCCGCTCGACGCGGCCGCGCCCGCGCCAGCATTCCCATGGCCGCGCGTGCCATGGCCGCGGCATGCAGTTTGAGGCGACGGCGGCGCACGGCGGCGCCGCTGGCCCAGCCGAGGGCTCCCGCACCCGCTTCAGTCGCCCCCTCATGACCCTGCCGGCAGAAAACTTAGATCGGGAGCGTTTCTTCCAAGGCAACTGGTCCAATATAATGTTTTTGCACGTACATGAACACCTTTTTTGTTTCTATACCAAGGAAATATGGGAAACTATTGGGAATCCTTTTATTTGTGAGTACTTATTTGTGTGTCCCAGGGCCCCTTCAATATAAACTGTTCGGGGCTCTCCCGCGCGAGATTCTTTACGCTTCGCGTATCCCCACCAGCCCATCTCACAACAGCAACTCTTGCGAAGCATGCCGACAGTCGTGTTTTTCAGGCGTGTGTCCGCTTGGCCCCGCATATCTTCCCTGTTACTCCTTCCCCCCGCCTCCTTGTACATCCTCCTTGTGGGGGGAGCGGGAGAAGGACGAGGCGGAGGAGGAGGGAGAGAAAGCGCTCCTCGTGGTTTGAGTCGTTTGGGGTTTCTCGTCCTGGTGTGAGTCGTTCGGGCCCTTCTTCCTGGTGTGAGTCGTTCGGGCTCTTCGTGGTGTGAGTCGTTCGGGCTCTTCGTCCTGGTGTGAGTCGTTCGGGCTTCTCGTGGTGTGAGTTGTTCGGGCCCCTCGTCCTGGTGTGAGTCGTTCGGGCCCCTCCTCCTGGTGTGACTCGTTCGGGCTCCTCGTGGTGTGAGTCGTTCGGGGCCCTCGTCGTGGTGTGAGTCGTTCGGGCTCCTCGTGGTGTGAGTCGTTCGGGCGCCTCGTCCTGGTGTGAGTCGTTCGGGCCCCTCCTTCTGGTGTGAGTCGTTCGGGCTCTTCGTGGTGTGAGTCGTTCGGGCCCCTCGTCCTGGTGTGAGTCGTTCGGGCTCCTCGTGGCTTGAGGCGTTCGGGCACCTCGTCCCCTTTTGGGGCGTCTTGGGGGCCTCTTGGCGGCCCCAGGGGCTTCTAGGAGCGTTTTGGGTGCCTTGGGGGAGCCTCTTCGGGCCTCTTGGGAGCCTCTTGGAGGCCGTTTGGGGCGTCTTGGGGGCCTCTTGGCGGCCCCAGGGGCTTCCAGGAGCGTTTTGTGTGCCTCGGGGGAGCCTCTTGGGGCCTCTTGGAAGCATCTTGGGGGCCTCTTGGGGGCCTCTTGGGGGCCTCCTGGGGGCCTCTTGGGGCCATCTTGGGGCCTCTTGGTGCCTCCTGGGCGCTTCTTGGGGCCATCTTGGAGGAAATCGATCAAAGAAGAGAGGAGCTTTAATCAGCGCTGCCCCCTCAGAAGGGCAAAATGGGGCCAAAACCTTCGTAAAAACAATGAGTTTGGCTTGAAAGAAGAGGGGAGCTTTAATTAGCGCTGCCCCCATCAGAAGACCAAAATGGGGCCAAAACCGTAGTAAAATCAATGATTCTGGCTTCAGAGAAGAGGAGAGCATTTTTTCTCCCTCCCCCCGTCGGGGCCAGAATCCTCGTGAGGGGTGTCGTTTTTTAGCCCTCCCAGGAGTCGAGAAAGACCCCTCTGACCACCCGCGAGGCGCCCTCTCCAGGCCCAGCGGGTGGGTGTAGGGGGAGGGGTAAACCCCTCCCCGAAGGGGAAGAAGGGGGGTTGAGAACAGAGCGGGCTCTCTAAACCACTCACGCCCAAAGGGCTGGTGGGACTTTCTTCTTCAGAGAAATTTAGATCGATTTCGTATTGAGTTTATATATTTTTCTCCCTGGTGCCGAACCTTCGTTTTTGGGGTGGATCTAAGCTTTTCGACGCGCGTCCGTTCGGGCCGGGCCCCGGGCGCCGCCTGCGGCTCCTGTCAGCGCCGCCACGGGCCGACGCGCCCGTTGGTTTTTGCTTTGGCATGAGCGTGCGAATCTCCACAATGATTTTGGGCATTGACCGCGCACCAGCGCAATGAAGCGCCAAGTTCAAACGCCACTGAGCATAGCAGCAGCGCGCCGTTCGCATTGAAATGCGCGGCGTTGTCGTTGGCTTGCCGTCGAGCAGTTTCCGCTTGCAGCTCGCGCGTCGTTTGACGGTCCCGTTGGTCTTAAGCTCCTCACGTGGGGGGCGGGGGTCGTTTTTCGTGCGTTCGATGCCTTATGGCAAGGCTTCTTACTGTACGTTAAGCGCTTGCTGTATAGCGGGCCCTGCCACCCGTCGGTCGCCAAAATTAAGTTTTTTGGGGGGTTCCATCTTTCAATCCAGTTTTGGTGGCGCCTTCCTGTTTCAAAAGCCGAACGATGTTGTTTTGTCTCTCCTGTTCAGGGGACGGAAGCCCTTGTATTAGCAGCGCTTTCCTATCATATTGTGCTGCCCACTTGTTCGACCGAAGGGTGACGTGTGCATTTGCTGGGGCGGGTGCGGGTATGCAGCAACCCGCCGTCCCGAAGGGCCCATTCCGATCCGACCGACCCGCTGCCATGCCAGCTTGGGCCGGCCCGGTCCGATTCGATTCCGATACGGCAGCGGCATCCGATGCGGCCCGAGATTTGCATGGCGTTGTTGCGCACCCTGGCGCAGCCGATCCAGTTCGACCTCGACTCCGTGCCGATGCGGGCCGGTCTGCTTCACGTTCCGAACCGAGTCGTTTCCCCGATCGGATGCCGGCTCCTCCTGCCGAGGTCGGGGCGCACGACCCGGGCAGGCGCAATTTCGGGGTCGTCAGCGCCGAGCAGGCCTCGGACTACGAGGCCTTCAAGGCGAGGCTGCGGGGCCGCCGCTGGCGCGGCGCGGTCGTGGAAGAGGCCGCGGCCTGGCGAGGCGCGGGCGGCGGACACCAACGGCCGGTGAATAGACGGCTGCGGCGGCGGAGGACGGCGCGGGGTGGCTCCTCCGGCTCTCGTGGGGCCCCTGGTGGCCCTCGCGGTCGCCACGAGGCAAGCCCCGAGATCTGGGCGTCGCAATTTGTGCTGCAACGGGCGAGTCTGCCCTGTTCCGGGCCCCGGGCCCTCGCGGATCGATCGGGCTCGAGAAGTGCAGCGGAAAGATGGGGTCCAGGGCTCTGGTCGCGTTGTTGTTTATGGTGTTGAAATTTGTCAGGTGGTGCCAGATTTTCCAGCTAGTTGTCTGTAGCGTAGTTATTTTGTCAACGTGACCAAGCACAGGTAATTATGTCAATTGAAATCGAGAGCCGAACGCAATTAGAGCATGTGATTTGGATACAGAGGTGTCTAATGGGAGTTGGAATTGTGTAGAGCTGATAAAGTATTTGCTGTCGTGTAAACAGCTGCAAGGGACGAAAATACGAAAGCGTGCACGGCGCTGTAGAGTCGAAGCAAGGGTTGATGAGGTTTTTCACTTTCAGAGGGGGTTGAACCGAAAGCACATTGACAATGGTGTTGTGGGCTGTGATAGTTGCGCGCCTGGTTTGTGTCCTTGGCCTGCATGGCGTTGAGGCCGCGACTGCGGCCGGATGTCAGCTGCCCGCCAGGGTTTGCCCTCAGCTTGCAGTCTGCGATTGAGATGCACGTGCACACTCCCCTGGTGATGGTCTGTCCTCACGACTACGAGTTCCTGCACTCGGTGGACATGCCCAGAGTCTGCGGCGTGCTGCTGGGGCGCCCCTGTCAGGGGCGCCCCCTGGCCGATCCTGGCCATACCAGTGCCGGGCAGGACCAGGGCACTCCCGTGAGCCCGCGCGTGAATTACATTGGTTTCTGCGCAGGCAAGCAGGTGAAGAGGTCGCTGCCCAAAGCCAAGCAGGGCTACCCGGACGATACAGGCACCGTCATGATCGATGGACTCCAGTTGTCCCCAGTGTTGGCCTGGAAAGAGAACCCCCACGTGGCAACAGTGGATGCGTACCGTGAGTTGGTCTTCGATGCTGTCCCTGGCAGTGGTTTCCGCGTGGGCGAGTTTATCGAAGACCGCCTCGGGAATTGGATGCGCAGGATGATCAAGGAGAAGGGTATGCAGTACCACCGAGAGAAGTATTGCATGTACTTGCTGAGTCCGGCTGTGGCCAACCCTGCCGACTCCGCAGAAGGTTCACAATGCCCTACTTTGTACCACATGGACGGCAGGTGCTACCGGCCAGTTGCCGAACGGTTGAGGTTAGGCTGGAAGGTTGCTGCATGGGAGGTCGAGCGAGTGGATCTATCCGACGCTGTTTTACAGCTCCGCTTGGAATGCGGCCCTGCCTGAGGACTTGGAAAAACTCGTTCGTGGAGCCAGGGCGTTTGGTAGCGCCGTTTGCCTGTGGTTGCGCCGCGGGTCGCGTAGCGATTGATCACATAGAATTGATCATGTCAGGTGGAATCGTTGGCCAATCCGTGTTTTGCCTGGGGGGCAGATTCTTTCGTGTTTTCCTTACGATGTCGCGCGCGGCGAGTCAGATGGCCTACGATCCCTCGCGATAGGAGACCCATCGGCCACGCGACCATGAATTCGCGATCCAAAGGCTCTTCACAAATGACGCTCATCCTAGTGTAGCGCGTTCTCTGCAAGAGAGCTGTCCATTGGTGTGCATGGGACAGCCCTCATTCGCATTCAGCAGCGGGCGGTCAATGTCGGTTCGCGTCGGTATCCGATCATTGGTCATGACTCATGACGTGCTTGTGGTCGGGCTCTTTGAGAGCTCAGCGGGCTCGATCGCAGGGGAGAAGAAGAGGGGAAGAGAGAGTAACCGACGTGAGAGCGATGGAGAGCGAGACTGAAAGAGAGAGGGAACGAAACATGGAGATAGAGAGAGTGAGGCAGAACGAGAGCGAGGGAGATAGAACACGAGGAAGACAGTGTGAGAGAGAGAGAGATCTAAACAACATGTAGAAACTGCTGAGCAGACAGTCGATCACAAAGTAGTGAGCATTCATACTTCGCTATCGTGGCGACACCGAATCAGATGGCCTTGTCGTTGGTTCATGTACGTGTGGTTTTATCAAACTGGACCTCGCGCTACACATGAGTATCGTGTTCAAATCCAAGCACGTATGCGGAAATACATGTTTTTCTTCGTGTCGAGGAGGGCTATGTTTACGCGTGTTCGACGGCATGCACGTGCATGTTGGACCCATTGGACAACGTGCTGTAATGGATAGGATCCTCTTTGTTGGTGGGCATGTGTCGTGATCGCGCATGTGTTAGTTATTATATAACTCCACGGGGTCATTCATGTGCAAACACGTCTTCCACTCTCAGAGCCAGGACTGGCACACCATTTGCATGATCAAATTAAAGCGTGTTCTAGTAGATCACATTTGTAGCTCATTCGTGAGCATTGCAGCCCCTACGCGTCGCGTAACTGAGTTGGATCAACACATAATGCCAGTGCACAGACAGGTTCCGTGCACACCATAGAGGAAACATGTTGGGGTCTAGAGGGTACGAATTGCCGTGAGTTCGGATTGCGCATGCCTGTGCTTTTGTAGGACGTCCAGTCTCGTTGTGCCATGCGGGGTGAGGACCAGGGTTCTCCAGATCAAGAGGTGCCACACAGGGACGGTCTGCGCGGGGGCCGTCGAGGTGCCGTTGCAATTCTAATCGAATGTTGATTCACCATCCTCGGATTGATGTGCTATGCGGCATGCCTGCAGGAGCCTCCGCTGAAGAAGGACGGAAAGTTCCACCCCTCAGGGCGCGCCAAGGTCTTCTGTGTGCTGACCCTTTTGCCTGCGCCAGTTGTTGCGTACTGTTTTGCAAGAGTGTTCGCTAGCATTGACCGCAAACAGCGTGCTTCCAACACTATATGTTGTATAGTCGATGTCGTGGGATCTGTGTTGCGCAATATATGTAGTTCAATCGATGTGGCGCAATACATGTGTTGCGATACATGTGGTGCAATTTATGCGGTGCAATCTTCCTTGTCGAAGTTGACGTTGTCGACTCCACTGCTCGGGCAATCATCCCACCCACCCAACCGCAACTTGGTTTGCAAACCCATGCAGAAAAGATTGTGATGAGTGCTTGGCGTTGACTGGTGCATCTTTGCGGCCGCACTGACCCGCGCATGCTCGCGCGCGCAGCGGCCAGCTAGTTTGGCGCGACCGACGCGAACGCGGTGGCGTTGACCGATCGGCACGTCCCAGCGGGCACTCCAGTGCGAGTCGGCGACATGGGCTGGCGCGGTATCATGGCAACGCCGACAACGGTAGGCACCATGATGTTAGTAACGATGTTGGCGGCAATGTTGACACCGACGACGGGGCAGACAGTGACGGCGCCTATGCTGATAACGCCAACGACGATGACGGCGACTTTGCGTCGGTGATGAACGTTTTGGAAGGAGTTCGACATGCGCGCTGGAGGCGCGCGGGAGTGGCCCGCATGGTATTATTTGACGCGGATCGGGCCACCCCAGCACGTGCGCAAGGGCGTTCGAACGAATTCGACATTCGCGCGCGAAGCCTGCTTGGTAGCATCTTAGGAACAGGTTGAAGAACCTTTGGTTGGTGTAAGAACTCGCAAGCGCGCAAGCTTTGTGTTCACAGGCCGCGCTGCGAAACCTCATGTTTTTTATATGTTGCCTGGACGCTCGATTTTGAAAGTTTTTACGACACCGACAGCTGTTGGAAGGATTTCGGCACGCGCGCGCGACAACGCGCGCGTGTGCACGTCGTTTCGTTTTTGCTGGTTTTTGTTTGCCAGGGGTTCTTACAAACATATCATATTCAACAGACGAGTGCGCGCGCATAGCTGTTGCTGTTGCAGAGGATGGCGGGGGGGGGGGGGGCAATACCGGCTGGGCTGGGATGGCATGATTTCATATTTCGGATGGGCGATGTATCATAAACATATGTACATAGCAATACAAGAAGGGGTTCCGATAATCCCGGGGAGGTGGGGACATCTATTAGAATAATCTACGCGGCGCAGTCTATGATATGCTGTCTATGCGAGGCGCCGACGAGGCGGCGACGGGGCGGCGACGGCGACCACGGAGCCAGATTGGCGGCCAGGTCCAGACGACCAGACGACGGGTAGCGACGGGGCGGCGACGGCGACCACGAATCAGCCAGATCTGCGGTCCGGCCCAGTTCCTTCAAGGAAAAGTAAGAACCTGCGAGTGCAAGCGCAGTCTGTGGAAAAGCCGGCGGCCTCTGGCCCGTCCCGATATTGTGATGTGGTTGTGGGCCAGGACAGCGTATTTCCAGCTTGGAAGAGAAAACAACAAGTGATAATCAAACAATCAAACAAACAACGCACTCCCAGCCCTCTCCGTGAGGATCCGCGTGGATCCCCCAGAGCCCCGAGGATAGGAAGAAGCAAGAGCGACACCACCGCCTCCACCGGCGCGAGGCGCCAGGGAGGGTTCCCGTGGTGGTGCGGCCCCTTCCCCTCTCGAGACAGCCCCTGTCCCCAGCTCGGAGAGGCACCGCGGCCCCCCTGCTCGAGGTGCTGCCGTGGTGGTGGTGTTAACTCGGGCGTGTCGCTCGTCAACTGGTGGTTAAATATTAAGAAATTGTCAAAAACATAGTTTGACGACGATGTTTCGACTATGTTTGACAATGTTCGAGCATGATTCAGATATTTTTCATTTTTCGTCCAAAATCCGCCTGTAGGGGGACATGCCCGACCTAATGGTGGGTGGTGGTGGTGGTGGTGGTGGTGGTGGTGGTGGTGGTGGTGGTGGTGGTGGTGGTGGTGGTGGTGGTGGTGGTGGCGCGCCTCCTTCCTCCGACAAGCCCGAGGCCTACTCCCCACGAGATCACGGCTTTTCGATTGGCATCACCCGAGGAGATCGTTTGTCGAGGCTCAGTTGGGGTTCAGGGGCCCTCTTGGGGACAGGGCGGGGTCCCAGCCATGCCTGGTAGGTCCCGCTTTCGGGCGCCTCTCGGGGCCGTCGTGCTGGTCTTGGGGGCCTCAGAGGCTGTCTTGGGGCCCTCTTGGGTGCCTCTGGGCTTGTCTTGGGTGCTCTTGGGACAGGGCGGGCGATAATGGACCACAATCCGTGTAAGGTGGTTCGATGTTCTCCGTTCGTCCCTTTCTCGGTGACACTTCGCCATCGCTCACCCCGCCTTTGGCCGACCCGCGCTGTGTGAGCGCCAGTGTTGTGACAAAGTGAAACGTGGTTCTTCTAGCTTTGACGTCCTGAGCCGACCCCCCCAGTGATTCCGAGGTGGCCCCAGCACGGCCCAAAAAGCTTTGAACGAATTTGGGCCGTGGCCAGTGTGGCCCCCGATTCTGTATTAAAATGTGCTCGATGGCCCTCGAGTTTGCCGCCGATGAGACGGGACAAGCGCTGCCTCTCATCAGGCATCGCTTCGACCAAGCGGTGTGGCACGACTGGGCTTGGTTGATCAGTGCTCGACGGCCTTTGGTTTTTCGCCTCGTCTTTCCAGTCAGAGTGCGAGACTCGGGCGAAGTTTCATCATCACAGTCTCGTCAAACCTAGCCGCACGCTCAGTCTAGATTCTCCATGGGCACGCCGTGATTCTGCACACGACGGGCACGCCATGGGGCGGTTCCAATATGTTTTGCCGCCAATCAATTTTTTGCATACAAGCGTATGTGTCGACTGTATGTATGCGTGGGCATTCAAAGTCAGCTCGCAGATGTCGAGCTGTTGTGTTGTTTGTGTTGACGTGAACGGTTGCCTGTACGGCTGTCTGAGCGACATGTGCAGCCAGACTCGAAACGATCCAATAATCATAGTATTCAACGAGTTCTGTCGTTCATTATCCTCTTCGTCCGCTTCTTTGCTCTTGGTCGCGACGCTCTCCCCCCCCCCACGAGATGATGCCCAATCTTCCCCCAGCCATCATGTTCTGTCTCTTCGTGACGCGTCTTCTGCTCGACACCTCTGAGGTGACGCGTGGCATCGAGAACGGCCGGGAAAGGCGAGCCCACAAACGTGTGCGAATCACGAACGGGTGTTGGCCAGGTATGACCCCACAATAACGTCCGCGTTCTACGTCGTGGTGCATGTTGGTGACAGTTTTGACAAGAACATCTGAGGGCGTGCCCTCGCTCGTACAGCCACTGTAAGGTTGCAATCTGGCATAGTGAACGCCGTTAGGTGCGCACACGGACTGCACGCCGTTATTGTGGGTTCACCTTGTGGTGGCACCTCTGCTCCACCTTCCTTCCTTTCTACCTTCTCCTTCACCACTCATCTCTCACACGTCATCTTTCTTCTCCCACGCATGATCCTACATCCTGCCTCCTCCGTCCTCAAATGTTCCCGCCGCCTCTCGTTAGCTGCTACCTCCTCCCTGCTCCCTCCTGCCTCCTCCGTCCTCCCACTGCTTCGCGCGTGGTGTGCGAGCGGTACCAGCTCCGCTTGTGCTGCATCAGCAGCAGCATCTGCGCCGGAGGTGCAGCAGCAACATCGGTGGATGAAGCGGCGGTTCGGTGGTTGCTAGAGAAGTGTTCGGAGGTGGATAGACCTCCTGCCCTGACATGTCGATTAGTGAATTGTCCGTTTTCGGTTCTCGAGAGGGCGCCGCGGCCGTTGTTTTCCTGGCTTGCGCCCGCCAGGTTTGGGCCTCAGGTCGTTTTCACCAAACCGCGTTTTGCTAAAGGGGGGGTCCGTCCATCCCCGACCCTAGCAACACCCGAGGGGGAGAGACCAGAGCAAGGCCAAGATGCAGCAATCATGCTGCAGCACGCTCTGCCGCCCCGAGCCACCTCGTCACAGGTCCCGGCAAGTGTTCGCAGTCGCTGTGTGGAGCGCGCCCCCCCGGGAAAGACAGGGGCCCCACGGGCGGGGCGTGCACGCGGAAGCCGCCCCGCATCGGGCTGGTAGCTACCAGACGCATGAGGATGCAGAGAAGCAGAAAGTTCAAGCAAGTTTCGAGCGCGGGCCCCATGTATTGACACTACCGCTCTACATCCTCCATGTAGCCCCTGGTCACTGCTCGTCGCTTAGATCACGTGTGATGCTACCGTGTGAGGTCTCTGGCTACAGCCCCGTTTGGACGAGGAGCCACTCTCACCCGTACGATAGTTGTACGATGTATTGTGAACGGACGTGAGGATCGGACGGAGAGCCGAGAGGGGCAGGAGGAGATGTGGAGGGCGCTCCTCGATCCCCCTCCTCCCAAGGTTTTAGAAACTTGAGCCACAACGGTAGCAGTCACAGACGCATACGCCAAGCACAGAATAATGGCATTCACACGGCAATTCACCTCGACACATCATGTGGGACCTCATGGGACAGGAGGACGAGATTCGAAAAGACAGCACCCCCCACGTTCGTGTCCCAGGAGGCTCCGCACCTATACAGGCAGACATCGCCGCTGGGAGCGAGGTCGTCCCTCCTCGCTCTCTGTGCAGACAGCACGCGCAGCCTCGAACCCTTCCCCACCCCCGCCCCCGAGAGACTCCATGGTCCTGGGCCTGGAGTCGGGGGTACTGATCGGAGGACTTCCCGTGCTCGCGGAAGACGAGGCACAGTCCTGTGGGCCGGGCACTACCTCCTCCTCACTCGGGGGGCCCGCCGTGTCGGACGCTATGGGTGTCCGATTAGAGCCGGCTGCTCTCACGGGGCCCCCACGCGAATCCGCCGGCCGCCGAAGCGGCCTTCCTCTCTTCCTCGAAGCTTCGCCTCTGACTTCCTCCTCAGGACCCTCGACAGCGATCCTACCTCACCTCCTCACCCACCTCCGCCTTTCTCGCTGTCCTTCCTTTCTGCCTCGTCCTCCTCGTCCTTCCTAGTTCCTGGTGCTGCCTCTTGTCCCTCGGGACTCTCGAGCTGCAAGGCACGACGTGAAGCGATGACAGTCCTGGACTTCAGGGAAAGGTTAAGAGAACGCTCAGCAAGTGACCCTGACTCGTCGATAAGGGCCAGGGACCCTCGATGCATGAGATCGGCCAACGCAGAATTCCCTCGGATTGGGTCGATCTTCGTCATGCTGTTTGAAGGCATCTTGCAATGGTGGACCCATCGAACGACAGAGCCGTTGGCCGTCATCGTGTCTCTTACTACGGCCATCTCGATGGCGTTGCGACGGTCGGCCTTGCTCCCTCCGCAGTTCTTTGACATGGTATCAAAGAGAGATTTCGCGTCGACGACTGCGACACCCCCGGCGGCCTCGGCGAGTTCGCAGTCCTTTGGCAGAGCCACGGCGAAAGGGCAGGCGGTCCTGGCGTTGCACCAGTCAGGTCCCCGCACGTCTCCGCACAGGGCGTCCCTAATTGCGAGCCAGACCCTCTGTCCCTCGGCTAGAGCCCCAGAAAGACTCAGCGTCTCGGCTGACAAGGTCGCTCCTCCACGAGAGAATCGAAACTCGAGACCGCTTGTTGTCCTTGATGCGTGATTCTCCTAGCATCACGAGCCAAGCTCCTTGAGCTCCTTCCTTCTTTGCGATCCCGGGGCCTCCCGCGTCGCTGCACATGACCATGGTCATGGCGTTGAGGTCCAGGGGTCAAATGGTCAAGAAATTACAAGCCTTGCGCCTGAGGTGGCGAGCTACCTTGTTGGCCATTAGAGCTGAGGCAACAGAAACGTTAGGGCATTCAGCACTGAGCATGGAGGCGGATCCGGGCACGTGGGGACGAGACTGACGGGCGGTCCAGACAATCTTGGGCACAAGCCCTCGATAGTCCCGGAGCTCCCCATCTGTAAGCATTTCCTCGGGGTGCTTAGCTCGGTCTCTGTCGATGTTCATGGGCCTGACCTGCTTTAGTATGTACTTCTCCTGGTCCACCAGAATGCGCCCGTCGGCGTGTTGACGAATGCGCCTTCTGGCGTACTCGGCCTCTCCGACTTGCCACTTTCCGAAAGGAAAGCGGCGGGTCAGCAGTCCCTTGAGCTCTTGTTCGTATGAAGGCTCACAGGATATGATGAGGTCGTCGACTTCAATGACAATTAGTGCCCCTAGGCTGTCCCTGGGGTGATGGGAAATCCAGAGACGGCTTCAAGAGGGAACGTCGGAACACCAGGGTCTTCAGATGTGACGTGAGCGTCTGATGCCACCAGATGGGGGCGTCGTTGAGTCCGTAGACCGGCGCCACTAACTCCAGAAGGGACCCCCAGGGAGCATCGTCTCCATCGCAGAGTTCAACGTATATCTTCCCGTTGGGACGTGTGAGGGGGTCGGCCTGACAGAACGCGTTCTTGGCATCTGATATCTGGAGCTTCCACTTCTTTCCCGCCACGAGCAGCGCCTGACCATCCTGGATGACAGAATGCAAGAGGTTTCCCTGCGACGGATCAGAGCTGCTTCTTCTGGGGGTATCGTGCGGACAGCTCCGCTCGAAGTCATGGCCACCCATTCCGCGGCGTCCGATTTCTTGAATTCCTCACGCTCTTCGGGGTCAAGCTTCTTCCGACCGTTCTCCTGACAGCGCCTGACGTCCTCGTGGCCAGGCCCGGCCGTGGCGAACGAGAGGGGTCCCCGGGGGCCATTTCCCTCAGGACTGCAGCCCGCGCAGGAGCTCGAGGCCTTGATCGTCCGGATCGTCGACCCCGTCGACCTCGATCCAGAAGTCCTTGACGGGGCTTCCCTCCACGGCGAGCGACGGGTCATCGTCCTGAGCCTCCCCCTGGGGAGCCGTTGGTTCGCTAGGCCCGTCCGCCAGGTCCCCCCTGCCTTCCCAGCCCTGGAACCGATGAGCCACCGAGGCTCCGCTGTTGTCCTCGATCGGCCTGGGACCTGGGCCATGCGGAATCCCGTGAGTTCGGGTCCGCCGCTCTCGCTGTGGGGATCCTGCCCGCCGACAGGGCCTGCGCACGGGCGCTCGCTCCCTCGGGGCGGAACCTCGTGGCGATCTCTCCCTGGCATTCGCTTCAGGGTTGTCCGCAGGGAGGGGGGCTCGGTCCCCAGACGCCTCCGGGGGCTCCTTCGAGGGGCGACCGCCCTCGCTGCTCATTCTTGGCCTGGCTCGAGGGGGACCTTCCAGTCTTGGCGGGGGGTGCAAACGCTCGTCCTCTCCGGCGTGTCCGTCCAGGGTGCCGGGCTCGCTGGTGGGAGCTGGCTCGTCAGCCTCCGTGCCTTCGGTATCGAGGGGAGCGGGGATCCGTGTTCCACCGAGTCTTCAGCAACGGAGGCTGGAGTCCTCCCGACGGTTCCGCCGCCTCCGCCGAGAGTTCCCGTTCCCCCAGATTCCTTGCCGTGCTCCTTTGGGTCGTCCCAGGCCTGCTCAGGGGGGGGCCCTCGCTCCCGACGTCGAGCGCCCCTACCTTCTTCCCGGGGTTCCGAACCTGGTTCTGGAGCTCTCGGAACTCCGGAGTATCAATCACTTCGGCCCCTTGGGCCTCAGCACGGGTCGCCTCTCTCACTTGCTCCGCGCTGCACTTCCACAGTTTGGTCCTCATGGCCACCCACACCGTCGTCCCCTCATGAAAGACCACCGCCCGGGGACCCACCCAGCGATCTCGCTGGAGCGTATGAGTCTTTACTCCCACTACCTTCCACCACACGTACACCCACTGACCAGGCAGAAAGTCCGATCGACGTGTTGACGTGATTTCCTCGCTTCCGCTAGCCTGGACTTGGCGTCGGCACACATTAGGGCTTTCTTCGCTTCCTCTCTGATCTGATGCTTCCTGGCGAAAGCGGCAGCGGCGGAGTCATCACTGGCGGCGTCCCCCTGGACATCCGAAAGGTCGATGTCGGTTCCTTCGTCACTGGGGAGCGTTCGGGGGAGTCTAGGATTCTCCCCGAAGACGAGTTGGTACGGGGAATACCCTGACCGGTGGTAGTAGCGGTTCTTCGCAGAGACGGTCTCATGCAAGATGAGCTCGATTTCGGAAAACGTGCTGGGCTGAACAACGTTGGCGGTCTCGGACAGCGCACTCTTCACCCATCCCCCACGGCGTTCGGCCCTGCCATTTTGCCACGGCGTCGCATAGGTGTTGGTAGATCCCTGCGTGCTCGCACCCCCGTTCGAACGC